TATCCGGCCGGAGTCATATCCGGGCGGAGTCATATCCGGATGAAGTTATATCCGAGCGGAGTCATATCTGACCGTAGTCATATCCGACCGGAGTTATATCCGACCGGAGTCATATCCGAGCGGAGTCATATCCGGGCGGAGTCATATCCGAGCGGAGTCATGTCCCGCCGGAGTCATATCCGGATGGAGTTATGTCCGGGCGGAGTCATATCCGGATGAAGTTATATCCGGGCGGAATCATATCCGGCCGGAGTCATATCCGGGCGGAGTCATATCCGGATGAAGTTATATCCGAGCGGAGTCATATCCGACCGTAGTCATATCCGACCGGAGTTATATCCGACCGGAGTCATATCCGAGCGGAGTCATATCCGGGCGGAGTCATATCCGGGCGGAGTTATATCCGAGCGGAGTCATGTCCCGCCGGAGTCATATCCGGATGGAGTTATATCCGGGCGGGGTCATATCCGGATGAAGTTATATCCGGGCGGAATCATATCCGACCGGAGTCATATCCGACCGGAGTCATATCCGACCGGAGTCATATCCGACCGGAGTCATATCCGGCTGGAGTCATATCCGGCTGGAGTCATATCCGAGCGGAGTTCTATCCGAGCGGAGTTATATCCGAGCGGAGTCATATCTGAGCGGAGTCATATCCTGCTGGAGTCATATCCGACCGGAGTCACATCCGACCGGAATCATATCCGACCGGAACCATATCCGACCGGAACCATATCCGACCGGAACCATGTCCGACCGGAGTCATATCCGGCTGGAGTCATATCCGACCGGAGTCATATACGAGCGGAGTCATATCCGGCTGGAGTTATACCCGACAGGAGTCATATACGAGCGGAGTTATATCCGGGCGGAGTCATATCCGAGCGGAGTCATGTTCCGCCGAAGTCATATGGATGGAGTTATATCCGGGCAAAGTCATATCCGGATGAAGTTATATCCTAGCGGAGTCATATCCGAGCGGAGTTATATCCGGGCGGAGTCATATCCGAGCGGAATCATATCCGGATGGAGTTATATCCGGCCGGAGTCATATCCGGATGAAGTTATATCTTAGCGGAGTCATATACGAGCGGAGTTATATCGGGGCGGAGTCATATCCGAACGAAGTCATATCCGACCGGAGTCATAGCCGACCGGAGTCATATCCGACCGGAGTCATATGCGGATGGGCTGAGACATATTCGTACGGAGTCATATCCGGGCGGAATCATATTCGGCTGGAGTTATATCCGAGCGGAGTCAAAAACTAACTTGATGAAATTTATTGATGATTTTAGGGGGAGGGCGGTTGACAAATAATCACGTGGGGGAGGAGGGGTAAAGTAAGACATCACGTGTATTTATTTTTTACCAAACATTTTAAAAAAAATACAATTTTTTCTCGTAACTAAAAATACACGAAATTTAAAATCTTTATTAATTAAGAAAATCGACCGTGCAAGGTAATAAAAAGAAATTATATCGGGGAGTTATATCCGGGCGGACATATCGGGCCGGAGTTATATCGGGGCAATGTCATATCCGACCGGAGTCACAGCCGGTTGGAGTTATATCCGGGAGAAGTCATATTCGCCATATGGACTACAAAAAACTAACTAGACGAAATTTACTTAAATGTAGTAATAGTAATATTTACCACCGTCTGTATTGATTCAGAAAAAACAGTGAGAAAAATTTACGATTTTTTCGCTTTTAAAGCCTTGTATCAAACTCTGTTCGCGTAAAACTTCGCAATTTACTAGTAGTAAATATCACTTTTCTTGTGTATATTTCAAGTCATATCTTGTCACTGACCTTAAAGCACCTGTGCCAAGCAGTCAGAAACTTGATTTAACAAATTTTTTGGTAATTTTCGTAAATTCGAATATTGAAGTTTAAAATAATCAGTGAAGTGCCATTTGAAACCTGAGAATTATTGCATTTTGCAACTTCTCTTCAAAATTCTCTTTCATAATGTTTAGTTTTATATAAGCAATTTATCGCATATATCGTTTTCAGATTATGATGAATAGTTGTAATTTTATTAGAGTGTAATGAGGAAAATTCAAATTCAAGCTAATCTTTTAAAAAGTAAGGTCAATCCGGGATAAAAAACATAACTCCGGCGCCAGGGAAGTACCGTCCCGGCCAAACCGGGACATCTTAGGTAATTCCAAAAAGCATTTTTTCATGTAAATGCTTTACCGATACTATTCTACATTACATTCAAATTACCAAAATTTTCAAATTGCCCCCCTGAATTCATAAATTGCCCCCCGGTGGGGCGTGCGCCTGCGCCATAACACTGATGTAGTTATCTGGACATTTTAGGAGTTCTAGAAAGATAGCCTGAGTAAAAATCCAAACACTGCCAATTTTTTTCAAGAAACTTACAGCTCTGTGTAACTAACTGCTTGATATTTAAACAAATATTATAAATTGTGTTAAGAATTATATAATTGGCAAAGTTTTTTGAAACGACAGTTTATCTTCTCTGCGTGAAAATGTAGAGAAAGCAAATTATTGAATTTCATTTTAAATATCCGGTTATTTTAGGAGCTTTAGGAATACTAAATCAAAATCTTCCCTCACTCACTCTTATGATGTGAAATGATAAATAAATAGTTTTAAACATAAACTATGTTTTGTAAGCAATGAATTCCAAAAAGCAAGCAAATAATGACAAAAAAAGAAAATATTGATTATTTGCACACAGTTTCTAAAATTTTCAGACTAAAGAGACATATATTTTAAACATAACATAACATACCTAAATATTATAGGCCTACGATTAGCGGTTAAATTATAAAAAATTATCAACGTTTAGAATTTCGATGCCCGTTTAAGAGATTTTAATCAGAATCTATGCCGGAGAAAATATTAACGTTTTGTGATGTTTTGTAACTGATTACAGTTAAATAAAATGAATTTTTAGAGCACGCAATAGATGAAATGAAATGTGTCAAGCAAATTCATTTAATTCATACAATTAATGATATTACAAGTATAGTTAAAATACATCATGTAGAAATTTTGTTGGTTACTTTTTAATGAAACCAATAATGTTATTTTCAAAATAAACAGTTGAATATTCAAACAGCTATTGATTACAGTTGACGTTCGCATTTAAATAAAATAAATTTTTACAGCACACAATAGATGAAATGAAATGTGTCAAACAAATTTACTTAATTCATTCAATTGGTGATATTATAGGTATAGTTAAAATACATCATGTAGAATTCTTGTTGGTGACTTTTTAATGAAAGCGAAAATGTTATTTTCAAAATAAACAGTTGAATATTTTATCTAAATATCTGAATTTCAATTTTTATTTTAAATGTATTAGATGTACAATTCACAATTTTCAAGGATAACAAACAACCAATATTAAGGTGACCATATGTTTTTTGCATAAAATCTGGGACGAATTATAATGTGTGGGAGAGCAGCGGGGGGGGGGGGGTAGGTTTGTTGGTGAGCAAAAATTTATATGCACATTTTTTCGGTTCAATTTTTTTTATTTAAATATATTTAAAGAAAGAATTGGCAATCAAAACATTTTTAAAAATCCGGGACAAAACACTTAAAACCGGAACAAATGTTGCTTTTGGCAAAAGCCGGAACGCAAGGCTGAAAATCGGGACTGTCCCGGCCAATCCGGGACGTATAGTCACCCTACCAATATACAAAATACAATGAAACAATTATAAAATAATTTTGTGTCTTGATTTTATGAAATTTGATCTTCGTTTATTTAGAGCATCTTCAAAAGATGAGGTCTTGTATATCCATTGATTTGCAGAAAGTTTTTAAAAAGTTTAAAAGTTTTTCTGGAAAAAAGAGCAGTATCAGAGACGAAGAAAAAATTTCCTAGCTAAGAAATGCTTAGCTATAGTCAAAAATGACTGTATTTGTAAGACATCACAAACAATTTGTAACAAAAAATATTTATAATTTGGTGGGGATGGTACCACAGTATTTCTTGAAGTCAAAATTCATATGTTCAAAAATGTCATAAAAACTGTTGACTTTTAGTAAATTAATCAAAACGTTATAGAATTTATAATTGCTTAGTTTACGTATTTGTAAGGGTAATAAATTGAACAGTTATATACTAAATCCATCAATTGAATTAAAAGTAGTATTAAGCTTAAAAGTTGATCCTCTGATAATTTTATTCCTTGTGACATAGTGGGAATTAGACATTGAAGATAAATTAATGTAATGAGGATCATTTTTTATAAAGATAATTGTAATGAGTAGGAATATGATAGGAACGGTAAGAATGTTATACTTCTGAAAAATATTTCTACAGCTTGTCATCGAGTTAGGAGAGAACGTAATTATTGATTAAGATATTATATATGCGTATCAGTAAGTTTATGCAACTTGCCTTAAGGCAAAATGCTTACTTGTTTATATCTCTCTAGTTTTTATTCTACACTTTTGAATTACAACGGCTAAATCAAAATGAGTCAAATTCGGTGTATGTAGAGCACTCTCGCGCGCATTCTGCGAACTTCATGTCGCTCCATGACGAAGTAGAGAACTTCAGACGCAATAATAGATCCCTCTCCTACCGACAAATACATAGTTTTAAAATCAATTTATTATTTTAGTCACAATATTAGACGTTTATCTGAATAATAATTTAAATGCAAAACTTGAGTCCTTTCTTAATTTAATTGCAAACATTAATACCACCTTTTCAATTTAAAATGATAGTGTGAAGTCAATCGTTGGATAACTGCACGAATTATCAGCTGATCTTTGTTTTCAGTACGCTGAAACGTCATACGCGATAACTGCGGAGTTTTGTTGTATATATATTATTATTTTCTTATTTATTAATTATTGTGTGAATGTTGTTATAAAAGTGAATGCATAGATTCCATTTATTAATAAATTGCGCATTTGTTATATAATTGCGGACGCTTAAAACTATTGTGCCAGAGTATTTGGATTGTATAGACATCTTCTGTCATTACAATGACGCAGTTTAGCTCCGAATAATTCCAACATGATTATTGCTGTTTTAAGTAATGTAAGTGGAAATTATTATATAAATCTGATATTTAGTATGAATAAGATCAATTTTTGCAATATGGTAAGTTAGAATTAAGTGAGAGATGCACAATTTTGGGCGTTCAGATACAATTCCTTTGTCCTTGTAAACAACATATGAAAGCTATTTTTATATGTCAAGTAACGCATATGGTACACAAATAGGGGGACTCGAAAATATTTTGTATAGAGTTTATATAAACAATGATATTTTGTAAAATTCTGGATCTGTATTAATATTTTTAATTCATTAATTACATTTTTTTGCTTTTTAATAATTATGCATACGCTACATATGATGCAATTATTTAATGCAAGAAATGTTCTCATGACTCATCATATGACTTTTTTTTGTATTGCATTAATTTAACAATATGCAATAATTATTTATAATTTTGTCAATTGTTAATTACTACAATATTTAAATCTAAAAATATAGAAATGCTATAAAGTTATTTGGTAGCATATGTTGATTTTGAGATGTTGCATATGAATTATGAATATAAAATTCAAATACTCAAATTCTGAAAATTCAATATAAAAATTGACCATTGAATTTAAAATTCTATTAAATTAGTTGACAATGACTCAAATTATGGAACTAAATATTATAATTAAAATATCAATATGAAACGTAATTTTGAAATTAATAATTTTATTATTTACTTTTTATTAGTTTTGATGATTTGACATTAATATAAAGATATATAATAATTTGGTAACATATGTTTCAAATTTTATCATAATCGACGTATTACCCTGATTACTCATATTACTCACTTATACGATTTTTTTATATGAGTAATAGAATTAATTTTTATCAGGTTTATTTAGTTCATTAAATAAATATTTATTATTGTTCTTCTGGAAAAAATAATGGCTTTATGACACACGAGCGTACATTCTAAATTTGTTTATGCGATCATATGTTATATCGCGCTGTATGGCGAGATAAGCTAATAAAGCCTAGTCCATATGTTGGTCATTGTATTTCTTTTATTTGACTCTATGTAATAATCCAATAATAGAATTACAAATATTTTGCTATATATTGGATTTATATTTCTATTTATTTTTGTATGCAAATCGAGGAAAAATGTTTTGGCTAGACTCTTAATTTCCTTTATTTTCTTATTAGCCTTACATTTTTTTCTATATCGAACTAAATGCGTTTATTTATCCCTCCATTTTGCCCTTGGTTCTGGTCCCCAAGCTTTTCTTCAAAGACACAAATTGTGGAATAATTTATATATGGAATAATTTGGTTCTTAACTGATTGAGAATATTAATGTATTTAAAGTTCTTTGCACTCATATTATGAAATTCTCTGTTCAAATTAAATAATTCCGAGCACCAAATTTTTTAATTAAATTAAATTAGTGACTAAAACGATAAACGACTCGAGCAATACACATTGAAATATGTTAATTTACATGTAAAGAATCACTAATATAATGTACTAAATACACCATTTAATTTAATGTACTAAATACACCATGGTGTTCAAAGATGGTCATCATTAAAAAGGTTATGTGCATGAGGTATGAAAAAGAGGGCAGCTGGCATACAATAGCTCGCGGAGCGATGAAAAAAACTGTTTCAGAGGATCATACATATAGAGATATACACATATATATATATATATATATATATATATATATATATATATCTATAACTGCGTCAAAAAAATAGATATTGAGATGATTTTTTTTAAAATAATTCTAGGTTTTTAGCTTTCATAATATCAAAAAATCTCCAAATCGAAAAAAAAATAAATAAAAACCGAACAACCCCCTTAAGACATATTTTTCTTAAATAAAAATAAACCTAATTTAAATTCATATATTTGTATCTCCCTGAAATTCGAATTGGCACCTTTGGTTTAAAAGTCCATTGATCACCAAACATAACAAAATTTCACTTTGGCTAATATTGGAAGCGGAATTAGGAGCATACGATATAGAGAAAAGTTTGCCTTTGGATAAAACTTATTGTTGAAATTCGATTGTTTTCTATGTCATAAACTGAAGACTCGTTAAAAATCCTTGTCTATGTAAATATTACTAAGGATATATAAGTTGACCCCTCTTTATTGAACTTTTTACTACCGAGTGTTGGCAAACTTTATCCAGTCTATTGTTAGGGCACTTAATAATTGCCCTTTTTTCTTATAATAAAGACATATTCACAATTGGCTATTTTTACTTGGAAACATATTTTTTGGTAAATCGTTATTATATATATTATTATTTTCTTATTATTATATATACATTATAAGAATATATACATTATTATTATTTATATATATACATTATTTTCATATCTCAGTCAGACAGAGGTACCTGGTATGAGAGATTATGAAAAACAGTGATCATATTTTATATATACATTTCATTTGACTATTTCATTAATATAATATCTATTATAATTAAAATATCTTTATATATATAATTCTTCAGTCTTCTTGTCTTCAATTTCCTTATAGTATTTCTTTATTTATTTTTTTTAAATTTATCGTCATTATTGGTCATCTTAATATCGTTTGGCAATTCGTTATATATTTTGCTAGCACTCCATATGACATTTTCTCTCAACATTTTCGCATTTCATTCGATATCGTCTGTAAAATATATTTCATAAATATTTTCTAATACCAATGTTAATTTTCTCATATCTTTTTCCCAGAGTGAGCACTATTTGCGTCATTCCGATGGATTCCGTTCAGCGCTGTGCGAGGCAGAACAGTGGCAGCTGCACAGACATATCGGAATGCGAGGTGGCATCCTCAACCATTCCCCAGCAAGTGGTGCCCCCCCAGCCAGTCTGCGACAGAAGTCTCATCGATAGCGTCGCAGGGTTCATAAATGAAGTCACGCTCAACAATACCGTTGTTGGTGACTCAAAGGATTCCATACTATGGGCTAGGTAGGTGGAGGAAAGAAAAATTTATTGAATTGATTACAACCCGCAGACTGGTAAATGATTCTGGTCAGATATGTTGACTGTATCTCATTGTAATCTACAGATGTGACCAGAATCATAATCTGTAATCATTTCTGTCTATCAATATAGATCAATCGTCATTTAGGTTTCAATAAGTTCACATCAATATAGTTCAGTCCTCATTTGGTTTCCAATAAGTTCAGATCAACATGAGTCAGTAGTACTTTAGTAATCAATGGAGTCGTATTCAAGTTCAATTGTTAATTCAAGTTATATGTAAAGTGTACAAAAGGTCATGAATTAAACAAATACATCAAACGTCTTCATCTATTTTACTGATCAAGCCTCCACAGCCCTTGTAGTATACAATGTCCCTTTTCGGCCGACTATCGTAAATTCATCAAATTTATTGAATGCCCTTTACAGGACAGTTGTAAATAAGAAAAATAATAAAAAAAAGCCTCCACAGTTTGGTAATAGCTTTTGTTTAGCAGCTGAAAGAACCTACATACATGTTTGGCATCGTCAGTAGTATTTTGCTGTCATACACTGTACTCATTTCGGTCTACATATCTAACCGGAATCATAATGAAGATAAATTATTACAAGAAGTCATGAAATAAACAACCACATCAAACGGCTTCATCTATTTTACTGATCAAGCCTCCACAGTTTGGTAATAGCTTTTGTTTAGCAGCAGAAAGAACCTACATACATGTTTGGCATCATCGGTGGTATTTTGGTGTCATCCTACACTGTACTCATTAAGGTCTACAGATCTAACCGGAATCATAATGAAGATAGATTAGTTAGTTAAAAAAGTAGTTTAAGAGTTATCATTAATTATATATTACTATTATCATAAAGCAAAATATTTTTGTTATTACATTGAGATGAATAATATTTGGATTTTTTTTCAGATTTGAAACGGCTGATATAAATGAGCCAAGTGCAAAAGATGAATATGATGCAGATAGTGCAGTACAGCCACTTTTATTAATTCTTGGCTATGGATCGGGGATACAGGTATCACTTTGATACGATTTTACCTATACCATATTTTTTCTTATTCACAAATTTAAATTTGAATTGGCGATGTCCTGATATTCTTTTACAGGTTTGGGCTGTGCCTGCCAATGGAGAAGCCACCGAAGTATTGGCTTGGAGGCAGGGTACAGTGCGCGTTTTACGAATTCTTCCTTCACCCAAAGTTGATATTGATTGTCCAGTAGATCAACCATCGGATCAATATGAACAAAAGAGGCCATTAGTAGCAATTTGTGATAATTCTGGATCTGGGCCGCAGTACTGCTCTGTTAATTTTGTATCATTGAAAGATGGCGACCAGGTAAAATCAATGCAATAACCTCATAAACCTTAACAAAACTGATAAAAACCCAAAATTTGATTAAGGTTTTTTTTTTAAAATGTCTCAAGAGAAATATTGATAATTAAATCAAATCATACATAATAAAATTTATCTTCAAGGCTTACATATATTGATCTTTCTATTACCAGGTCAAAAAGATTAAGTTCAATAATCCAATTCTGGATATCATGGCAAATCAACGTGTACTGGCAATTACATTTGTTGAAAGAATAGCTGTATTTGAAGCAAGCACTTTAGAACACAAGTTAATTGTAACTACTTGTTATCCAAGTCCAGGAATAAATCAAAATCCAATAAGTCTGGGTACGAGATGGCTGGCTTATGCTGAGAAAAAATTAATTAATTCTAAAAGAAGTTCTGGTGGATGTGATGGTAATTAATATAATATTCATCAGTTGTGACTTATGCGATGCTTACATAACCTTTTTCGAATATAATTAAACATAATAATGATGCAATATATGTCAATTTACTTAAGGTGAAGGATCAGCAAGTTACACAGCGACAGTTCTACATGCAGCAAAATCGCTTGGAAAAGGTTTGCGTGGTTTGGGAGAAACTGTTGCCAGCAGTCTATCTGGAACAGGAAATCCGCGTGCAGGTTTTACACCAATCAACGCTCCGCCTTCCCAAAACCACTCCGATTCACTTCAAGCTGGTGTAGTTACCATTTTAGATTTACAGGTAATTGAAAAAATTAATTGCTAATAACTAATAGTTCATTTGTACATTATTATTTTTGTTTCAGTGCCAAACAATTGATGCATCAAATGCTCCAGATCCAATGGTAGCACATTTTGTTGCTCATAATGATCCTGTTGTTGCAATGATGTTTGATATGTCAGGGATGTTATTAGTGACTGCAGATAAACGCGGTCACGATTTCCATGTATTTCGTATTCAACCTCATCCAGGAGGTTCATCGTTAGCAGCTGTACATCATCTCTATGTTTTGCACAGAGGAGACACCAGTGCTAAAGTACAGGTAATAATAATTTACATTTTTAAATGTAAAATAATATTTTTTTTGAATTTGATTTAATTAAAATTAATGTTAATTATGTTTTGTTTTATTTACATAGGATATTGCCTTTGCAAGTGACTCGCGTTGGGTTGCTGTATCTACTTTGCGAGGTACAACACATGTGTTTCCTATAACACCTTATGGAGGGCCTGTAGGAGTTAGAACCCATGGATCACCTCATGTGGTAAACAGATTATCTCGATTCCATAGATCTGCAGGTCTTGCTGCTGATGGAAGATCTAACAGTCCGGTATGTAAATTGAATATCAGGTTTAATTCAACAGTAATGTCTGGTCAATATATTTATTTAATTTTTATTGATCAATTTTTAAATCACAATGATTGTGAAGCTTGATATATGTTTTAGAATTAGTGAAAGTTAAATATAATTTATTTTGTTCTAATTTTTTAGATAACTCTATCAGAGACGCCAATAGTTAATCCTGCGGCTCCATATAATAACCCTAGAATTCCTCCTTTTCCACATCCAACTGTAATACAGCCACTAGCTCAAATAAGGCAACCTATATCTTTATCTGGTAATATAGTAAATAATTCAGGAGGGAGTTTGAAATCTAATACAGGTTAGGAATAAAAGTTTACATACTTTTTATGATTTTCATAATTATTATCATATGAATCAAAATTTGAGCTGAATTAAAGAAAAACTTTGTTCTTTTTCTAGGGCGACAACGTATTCCTTCATATTCTGAGGATTCTCCTCATAGTGTTCGGGTGTGTGCGACATTTGCATCAGCTAGAGCTTATTTACTTGATGCCACAAATGCTCCTAGAGATCACAATCATCGCACACAACAGAAGGTTGCCGAATCCTTATTCATTATGGCTTGCCATGGAGCAATGCTTCAATATGACTTGGAACCTAGACCACTCTCAGGTTTGAATCAAACTTTTTAATCAATATTTGTCACTAATGCAAATTGAAATGAAAAACTAATTAAATTTTTTAATAGGCCTACCTAAAGAGAAAATATGTGATGACACAGCCATAGAATTAGAAGTAGAGCCAAAAGCTCAATGGCCATTAATGAGACAGGTTAGTACTGGCTTTGCAATGAAAAATTATTATTAAATATAATTTTTAACATTCAGTTCTTGCACTTGGACAGTGAACAGTCATATGATTATTAATGTATTTAAATTTTTTGTTTACTTACAAATAGTATGTAATCTATTTTTTATCTTCACAATTTTCTATTTGTTTTATCCAACACAAATTATATACATTTGTATTTATAGTGAGATATATGATAATGGTTTTGTTTTTTCATGTTTTATTATTTAAACAGTTATATTGACAATATATATTTTATTTTCAATAATTCACAGCATACATCAATGGACATACAGCCTCCTCTTTCAACATCAAATTTACTGCTAAAATCGAAAAATTCAAATCATCATGCAGCTACTCAAGATGAGTGCGAAGAACGCTGGTTATCACAAGTTGAAATTGTTACTCATGCTGGACCACACAGAAGATTGTGGATGGGTCCGCAGTTTATGTTCAAAACCTATAACACTAGCAATCCTGGGTAATTATATTTTTTTTCTAACTTGAGGTTAAGATCTTTTTAATAATCAAGTCTTCTAACATTTCTATTCAACTTTATGTAATAGATCTTGCGTATCACTAATGGAAGCAGATTCTGTGGAAGTAGCTTGTTTACCAGGTTCGAGACCTGCTCGATCAAACCCAGTGAACATGCCAGGTTTGAACTCTGGTCAACCTCTAGTTCCAGTGTTAATTGAAGCAGGCTCTTGTAGTAAGTACTATGTAATAGAAAATCGATCTATCATAATTATATTACAATATTATAATACATATATGTATTAATAAACTCTAATAATATTATCTTTTCAAATTTTGAATTTATGATTTTTTTTTTTCATTTTATATGCACCGAATTTTTTAACACGGTAATTAAAATTGTACTTTAATTAATGCATGCATTTTTTTTATTAAATTTTTAGGCAGCTTTGAGCAATCTCCGCGGTTATTAGAAGGTTTTCAAGATCATTTTGGTGAATCAAATAACTGCTTTGATATTTTGGGGGATTCTCAACTAAAGGAAGACTTAGCTGATGCTATGAAAGAATGTCCAGGAATTGCGCATAGAGATTCAGGTAAATTTATTGTAGTGTAGATTTCCACAATCATTTTGTAGAGTAGTCAGAGGTTGGCCAATATTGTAAATATTTTAATTAATTTAGGTATGTTTATTATTGTGTATATTTTAAATAAAATTCTAAAAATAAATAGTAGGTATTTCCTATCTGTGGATTTTGGTTACTATTTTAGAATATGTAAATTTATTTAAAGCTGTAAGTACATCTATTATTGGCCATCCTTTATGTAGTTAATTTATATAATCTTCATTGTCTACAATTATTTAAAAAAAAATTATTTAAAAAAAAAAATTAAATAAAAAATAATATATTAAACTCTTAAGCTATAACAATATATAAAATTTTTCATTTGAATTTTTTCAACACCGTTCTTTTTTATACTAATTGTATATGTTGCCACTCATTTTTTCTATCCTAACAAACATAAAAAAATCTGCTTTTACTAAGTTAAATATAATGCTTCTACAGCTATTAACATTTTATTAATATCATCATGCATCATTATTTTTTATTGCCCATTATTCATTTTTCACAATTCACTTTCATAAGTTTCATGCTAATAGACAAAATTATTATATTTACATAAAAAATATAAATAATTTTTATATATATGTGTATACGGTTACACTTATATTACATTTTATTTATCATTCAAATTGTGCGGTACTATTTATACTATCACAAAAAATTTGAGCAAAATCCAAGGCAGGTGTTTTCTGACGTAGTAATAGTTTTGTAATATATTATAAGCACTATAACGTTGATTTAATGAATTATATATCATTTTCGTTGAATTGCATGAAAACTAATGATCAGATTTTGTTCTAATAGTTTGAACCTTTGATTTCTGATTAATCATCGCTTTTGTCATTTATTTTGACTCAACAATCACGGATAAACAATATTTATTTTAATATCATGTTTGCTAGGAAGCCGAATATTATTAATTTATTATTGGCTTCTGTATTTTATGGTTATGATGGTTATTTTCTTTCTATGCAGACCAAAAAATACATCCATTTAAAAATTGTGTCCACTTGAAAAGCATTTTCTAATTTATTTTTAGTTATTATTGATCACAGTGCTTAAATAGTTTATCTTAGTAAACGCTTTTTGGAATGGTGTTAGAAAAAAAAACGGTAATTTGATTCTAATAATAACACCTGCCTCTGGATTTTTGTTTAAAGGACGTCCTGCCCCGCGACAACCATGCTCGGTTAATGTCGGTGAGAACGCATGCGAGACGAAGCCTGTGTTGAAAATTGTCAACCCCGTGGGAACTGTGATGTGTTTGCCGTCGGAACTAGATGACCCTGCGGAATCGAAATCTGGTTTGCAGGAACAAAATAGTGATCAATATATTCACGAAAATTGCGACGAAGCCTTATTTAGACCAGTAATAACCGGCTGCAATGTTATCATAGATACTATAGATCCGGCGGCCGACGATGTTTGTCTGCGCGATAAAACGGTAACGGTGTGCATCAATGAGTCAACAGAAGAAGCGCTGCTAAAATCAGCGCCGATAATTAAGAAAAATACAAATGACGAGTATGACAAAAAAGCTGAGGAGAATCTCAGACATGCTGAAGAAGAAAAGATACTAGAAGATCTGAATTATGAGAAACAAGTACAAACAAGCAAAATTAAAGTTACCGTTAAAAGCAGCAGCAATGCAAAAGCTGTTAACGATACCAAGAAAATGAATGGTAAAAGACAGAAAAATAAAGGAGATAATAATGCAGCGAAAAAAGATATCAAGCGTAACAATGATATTTCAGAAAAATCTGAAAAAATCATACGCGATGATAAAGTAAATGTGATTACTAAACCGGCAGAAGACTGTTCTATGTCTAATACTATCAAGTACCAAGGTTTGAAACCAGAAGAAATTAATTTTTCAAAGGAAGAACTTACCGAAGATAGTGTTAGTAAGAATAGTGCTTGTAACAGTGATTCAAAAGATACAATAATAGAAGAAATTAAACCGACGCAAGCTATTGAAGAGTTAGTTGAAAAGACATATAATAACTCTAGTGATAAATCAAATGACAATATCAATAATGATATTGCTGATACATTGAAATCAGAATTGGACTTTCCTGCTTTGAAGCCTAAACCTCGACAAAGACGGAACAATAAGAAAACTCCCGTCGAAACTACCTTTACAGTTGTTGAGGAAAATGATTTAAAAGATGTTAATAACAAGGCATCGATTGAGTCAGAGGAATTAGTAGAACAACCATCTTGTGATGCTGTTAGTCAATATATAATTGAGGCTGAAATCATCAGCACTCATAATACAGAGAACACAGATGAGGAAGTTACAAGATTTAAGAACAAAATACCTTATGATAGTTCAAATTTAGTGGTAGCTTTTTGTGTAGAACCAAATACTATGTCTGAGAGTACTTCCAAGCTTGATTTTGAACTTGCTCCAGAAAAGATGTTGGAAATTGATGATGCTCTGGATAACTGCTCAATAGACTTAAATGTTGCTGGTCAACAGGATTCTGACTATAAAAGTTTGGATACCGAAGTCGATGATATGTATATGAGCATGGATCCTGAGCATCAAATGGAGAAACTGAGCCAAACATTTGAGGATAAAATAATAGATGACGTAATCACAAACGAAGATTTTATAGAGATTGAACGCAAATCTGTTGAAAAAGTCCCGGAGTTATCAACTGATAGTGATGATTCGGAAAAACTTTTAAAAGACCTTAATAAAAAAGCTGAAAATATTGTAGAAGAGGAAGAAATATGGTCAAGCAAAATCGAAAATGTGGAAAATAATCCTGTGAATGTGGAAAGCAAAACACTGCCTGTAGTTCAAAATGATACAAAACAAAGTTCTAAACGAAAGAATAAAAAAAAGAAGAAAAATTAGGTCCTAATCATTACCTCTATGTTAAGTTTTTTTAATTACGTTTTACAAATATATAACAGCCATTTGCTGAGACAGTGACCGCAAAAATTTAATAGATGATTTAATGATTTTTATCTATTAAAAATTTTGCGATCGCGTTGATGATTAAATATAGCGTGTCTTTAATTGAATTCAAAATAATATTATTAATTAATAATAATTTCTAATGTCACTAGCAAAAAACATTAATTAATAGTTATTTGTAATATATAAATTTAATTTATTAATATTTTGTGCAAGTAGACTTTATGGAAAATGGTACGAAAAAAAAATTTTAAACCTGATTTATTTGTTTGCGCTATAATTAATCATCAATATATTTTATTATAATTATTATATTAAGTGATTATCATTGCAAGTTTTATCATACAGTACAAGATTTTAACCATCCCAGGGATAATCGGTTTAGTTCAATTGAGTTTATTTTAAAACTAAAAAGTAATCACCAAAATTAGAATTTAGAATAATTTATTATACAAAAGTTATTTTTGGAGATGAAAGAATAACGTGATTGTGTTCTCAAATTACTATGAAATAATGACCATATCATTTAGATACATAATTTCAAAAGTGTGGCAACTACAAATGATGTTATGACTATTTATGCTTAAAAAAGATAAAAGAGATTTGGACTTTAATTGTTGCTAGTGAGTGATTACAAAGGTTTTATGTACATAAAAAATAACTGTGTAATTTATGTTTACAGTAACGGTAACTATAAGAGTTTTTCATGCTCTCTGAAAATTAGATTATTTAAGTAGTCAATTTACTACATATTTTTCACATTACGACTTTGAAACGTAAATGGATATTTCTTTATTAATATTTTGAATTACATTTTTTTAATATTGTGAATAATAATTGCATTGAAAATCAATTTTAGGAATTTATGAAGAATTTTGACTGGTTATGAGTTCAGTTTTTGTCAATAATATTATTGTCGCGATTGTAATTTTAATTTACCATCATCATTAAAGACCACGAAGGTCATACTATTATGTCATGATGGTTTAATTTTAGAATTGTTTTATATTTTTTAATTCAATGCTTTTCACTTTCAAGAAATCATTCATTTACGTTATATAATTAGCTGTCCCCAAGATAAAAATTACTTTTAATTAAGTGGTGTTATATACAAATTTTTCATGAAGGTACAAATCGTAATTTTTGCAGGGTTTTACAATTTTATTTTAAGATTTTTTTAAATTTTGATTCATGTACATACTTGTATTTATTTAGATTTAGTTTGCGTAAATATATATGCCAGATAAATAAATATATATAATTTATTAAAAAAAATACTTCAAATGATCTATGAATGATAAAATGAAACTTCGATTTGAATGTAATTTCAATATGCAACAAATATTCGCCTTTTTGTGGTTGAATTTTTTATATTATTGTGTAAATATATGTGACAGTTATTTTAATTAGCATATAGTTTAATTAGTATTAATTTGAATCTTTATTGATCTCAATTCATTAAGAACGTTGTTACTATGAGCGGTACAAGATGATATCTTAAATTAAATCAGAAAATGTATTTATTAATGATACAGTTTCATTTTTTGTTTAAATAATTATCTGTCATGTTTAATATTGATATAGATCTCTTAGGATCGTATATAGACAGTTTTTGTGAAATGTAAATAACTCTTTTGTTGCATAGAACTACTTTTTTTATTAGAAACTTTATTAGTGATAACTGCTACCAAATCTCTGTGGTATACGATTTTTTTATGATTTATTTATATTACACTGTGTTAAAAAACCAATTAATATTCAAGTGATACAAGGCTAGATAATTTTATTAATGTACAAAATATATATATATATATATATATATATATATATATATACATTCAGATTTTTAAAGAAAATATAAAGATGACAGTATAACAGTAAGCACAATCAAAGCAAATAATGTTTTATCATTAGTATTTTTTATATATTTGATGGAGCATAATTTTGTTCAATGAAATAGAGTAGAGTTCCTTGAATTACAATCATGGCATGCCTTTCAATAAAATTAGCTTTCTTTAAATTGTTCTGAAAAATTATTTTAAATATTTTTTTAACATTGGCTAGGACAAATGTTGCTATCTGTTGTACTTAATTTTAACAAATATTCTCTAACATAATATATCAGCGAGATATTAATGATTAAATTAGAAACGGCATTGTTAGCTGCTCGATATATATTATACAAAGTAATATGGCTGTTGAAGAACTTAATTATAATTAAATATTTAATTGAATATATTATTTGTACTGTACATAAGCATTACTTTGACTGTACATAGTATTTTTATGGGGACAGCTGATAAATAATATGTAGATCCTTCTGTAAATAATGCCTTCAAATTGTGTAAAACTTTTATTGTAATTCGTGTATAGAAGTAGCGGTGATAATAATTTCGCTTGTATAAAGAAAAACAAAAGCAATGTGATCATACTGAAGTATTATTCTAAATATCATGTAATAAAAGTGTTGAATGTCGAATGTAATGGAGTTAAACATAAGTTATTCAGTTCAACCAAGTGGATTTCATACGATCGGCTTTTGAGAATTTATAACTTTTAAATTAATATCTGCTAAACAAAAAGACAAGTATTACGCTGTATGAGTCAATAAGGTCCAAAATGGCCTCAAATCTCATCATTTTGGTAATCTAAGCCTATTTTTTTTTTCTATATCTACAAAAGCGCATGATCATGTAAGAACCACTTTGCAGTGAAATATTTGTGAGATTATTAGAAAACCGGAATATGAATGAGAATTTTTGATAAACATTTTACACGAACAATACTCTAAAAATACGTCAAATATCTTAATATATATGTATGTATATGTTTAGTTTTAAACGGTTTAGCGACAAAATAGCAATACTTGTTCCAAAATTCTTGGGATTCCAAATCAATTAGTAATAACACAATAAAAATCAATAGAGAACTCATAAACCATCAGCGTTGTCGCAAAATTGAATGAAAAACAAACCAATAAATAGTACTGGTACATAGTCTCTAAACAATTGGATTTTAAATATTTTCGAATTTATATTATAATATGATATATAGAAACAACCTGTGTTTTAGAAGCGCAAAAATTTGGCAACGCTGACTACAAACTTTCATCAAAGTTTATTTTTCTATATTCATCTCATATACATAAGAACTAATATAAAATTTAATAACAGGTTATATTAATCAGAAAGTCATGTACTGCAGTTAGTTACAACCTTATGTAAATAATATATTAATTATATCTCTAAGTGAACAAAAGTGTATATATAATAATTCATTGTTTTCATATACTTAGATGTCAACTGTATTTAAATACAGCTTCAACGTTTTCAAAATTGATCTTGTGAAATGTAATGGCAAGAATATATTTACAAATTGTAATATATATCTTTATATAAATATGTATATATATATATATATATATATATATATATAAAGATTCATTATGATTCATTCTTAGCACACCCCATGTTATATGAAAAAGAAGGAAAAATAAAAAAATAAAAAAATCGTAAAATCCAAAAACTTATAGGATTGTTTTATTTATTTTTTTATGAAGTTGGAGATGAACTTTAGTAAAATTGATATGTCTCATTGGTCTTATAAAAAATTGCCAGTTCTTTAAGTTCTATATTTGATTCGATTGATTATTGAATTGAATTATTTCTAGTTTTTGCGGTTCTACTCTAAATTTTTGTTTTTTTTTTAACTAATTGATTTTTTAGTATTTAGTATCTGTTTTATCGAACGTGAAATTGAATTATCAGTTGAATTTACGCTTTAATGGTATCGTCGAAAAAGCTAAAAAAAGTGAATTGGGTGCGTTGTTTTTTATGAAAATCAGTTCGAAAAAAATGTAAATCATCTTAAAATATTTAAGTTTTTACCGATCACTATAAAGTTTTTGGGTATTTAAGGTGATTTAAGTAAATCATTGCATATAATTAAATTTGATTAACGGCAAAAAAATTTTAACACCCACTCAAATATTATTATTGACTGGTATGGCAAAAATGCTTTCTATCGACAAAATTTTAAAAATACCTATATGTATGTATTGAACTATTAATATTTTTTAGTCATCAGTATTACATTAAATATCATAATACTTTGCCGAGATTTTTATTTTTCAAAATAAAGAGAACCTTTTTTATTTTTTTTAATTTTTGTTTTTACTATACATTTTTACTGTCTAGTTTAGTGTCTTAGGCAATTTTGATAATTTACAATTATCAAAAGACGTAATATGCAATTAATAAAATGTTGGAAAAACAATTCTTTAATGAATTCAACTTCAACTTTAATTAATTCAAATCAACTAATAGTTAGCATAGCATTCCTTAGATAAATTAAAAGAATATTTGAATGATTGAAAAAAATAAAACGAATTATTTTAATTAAAAAAATTAAGATGTAAATTTAGTTCTTTACAGCAATCAATGTTGACTTTATTGTTAGATTGAGTGACGATTTTTATTTCAAACTTTTATTGTAGAAAAGTAACAACTTAAATTTACCCTTATCATGTCCAATTTTCATATAACACATATAATACATTTTCAAAAGTAATTGAAATCGTTAATTTTGTATGGGTAGTAATAGTTGTAATACTTTAAAATAAGATTAAGTCATATTTACTGAATCTGAAGATTTGTGAATAGACTGCTGTACATAATATTAATATAAACGGTCCAGATAACACTTATTACAGCGATTTTATAATGTAGTTCAGCGGTTTCCAACCTGCGGGGCGCGAAAAATCGAAAATAACCCAGTATATTTGGAACAATATTAAAAAATAAACAAAAAATAATTAGTTTTCATGCATATTTCTACATAATATTGCATATTAATTTGCAGTCTGATAATATCAGTAGAGTATTTATAAAAATAAACTGTTGAAAAAATGAAGGAGGGGGGGGGGAGTGCAACAAAGTTTTTTATGAGAGCAAAAAAAGTTTATTTTTACACGATGTAAAGGTATTTTCAACATATAATACTCATACAATATT